TCCAAGACATCTTCTTCAACCTCTTCACATACTTTATCCACCCGTTGCTCAATGAAATCTGAAACTATAAACTTCTGGAGAGCAGATGCCACAGTTCCATATAATTCTTCCAATCTCTTAAGACATAGATTTTTAACTTCCACACTGTATTGCTTGACTGCTTGCATCAAAACATTCTGTAGGTCATTCATAATGAAAAATAAAGACATTTTCAATGAGATCCACTCAGCAACCAAAAAGAAAAATTTCTTTCTCGCTCTTTTTTTTTTTCCTCAGATCCGCAGCCATTTTAAAACTTCCAAATTTCTTTAAATATACTTCATTAATCCAAAAGGATAGCAGTATTAATATCACCAGCCAGTATACACCACAAATTCATTGCAGCTAAAACTTTCCAGAGCCGGAGAAGTAACAATGTATCTCTTTCCAGTCAGTAGCCCAAAAAAAAGTGAAAGTAAAAAAAAACAAACGAAAGTATTCCAGAGAAACGGCAAGTCCGCAGCCATTTTCTCTCACTTTAAATCACCACAAAATAAAGAAGATGTTAGTATATTTCAGAGTCAAAGTCAGAAACAATCCACTGTAAATCCGAACCTCCTGTTTAGTTCTGTCTGCTTAAAATTTAAGTCCAAATACCTTCCAACAGCAGAGGTGGGAGCTGCATCTGGCTTTGCTCCAAAAGAGGAGCGAAGGCGCCTTAGGGCGTGGAGACCGTCCAGACTCCGGGCGAGCTAGCATCTCTCAACCCCGATTATAACAAAACCGGGGTGAGAGGAAGCTCGAGCCCTATCTGGACTTACTCCCCCCCCCTTTGCCCGAGGGACGAGGTTCCGAGCCGAGAGACAGCTAACGAACGCTGTCTCTTCAGGCTTTGACGCGCTCCCAGGCGGGCGGCTAACAAAAGCCGCCATGCGATGCAGCCTGTCACCACCGGAAGTCCATAGTAGTCTTGATATACAGTGAACTAGGAAGTCCTAAAGGGATCCATATTTGATTATCCATAAGTTATCACTACAGTGCTAACTCCTTCAGGATATTAATCGTGCAGTTTCTGTTGTGTTTTGTTGCCGCTGTTGCAATTCAGCAAACTATTGAGGAAGAACTTAGTTTTATTTCCTTTGAGAACAAAACTACAGAGAAATTAATGATTTAATGAGACAATGATCTGCAATATTCTTTAGAGCAGGGGTCCATAACCCCAGGTCCATGGACCGGCACTGGGCCATGGCATGCCAGCAACTGGGCTGTGCAAACATGCAAAGTCCCATCCACAGGATGCTGGCAGCACACAAAACCACGTCCCCTCTGGACCCTGGAATAATCTTTCTCCACAGAACCAGTCCCTGGTGTCCAAAAGGTTGGGGGCCGCTGTTTTAGAGAGATCCAGTCTGTAACATTTAATCCACTTATAACTTTGTTTTATATTGTACACTCTAAAACTTAATGCTGTAAAACTGGAAAAAGTGTAGAAATGGACAACAAAATTTAGCATAGTTTAGCAGTTCCCTTGTTATGAAAGATTCAAATGTTTACAACTTTTTATTGTAGAAAAGGAGCCAGTAGGTAGAGTTCCATTGCATAATAGTTGTATATAAAATTATACATGTCATGGATAAATGTAAAGGAAAAAAAATAACTCCTCTGATAATATTAGCATCCAGAATCATCCAGGAAAGCTAAACATCAGAAGATCTAAGAAAGACAAAAGTAAATACTGTGAAATACATTGTTACCCACCTGGATCAATTTTAGTAGGAAAACAGAAAAAAATCATTCTAGGTAATGCACTAGTGCTCTTTATTTATTTATTTGATTTGATTTGATTTGTATGGCTGCCCATCTCACCTAAGTGATTCTGGGAAACTCACAACTGTCTGTCTGTCTGTCTACAGTATCTATCTGTCTGTCTGGTCAATGACCAGTTAAAATGACAATCCAATAAAAAAGTTAAAACTAATAAGGAAACATATTAAACATCAGAAACCACTTAGAAAACAAAAGTATCCTTAGTCAATGGCTACAGTCCATCCTTGCACCAAGCTCAAGAAAGCAGTTTAAAAATTGGACACCCAAGCCTGCTGGCAGAGCCATGTCTTTGGGGTCTTCCTAAATGCCAGCAGGGTTAGGACCAGTCTTAGTCCAGGGAACAATGTTCCAGTGGGTGAGTGCCATGGCAGAAAAGGTTGTCTTCCTGGCTCCCGGAAGATGACACTCTTTTAAAGACAGAACATGTAACATGCTTCTCCCCGTACTCATGGGTCAGATAAATATAACAGACAAGAGGCAGCCCTTCAAATAACTCAGTCCCATGCCAGTTATTTCTATTTCCAATATTAGAAGCTCAGTGTCTCTGAATACCACTTGCTGGAAAGTAAGAAAGTGTTGTTTTATCTGTTTCCTATTGTCAGGTCCAAACAACTAGATACACTCCTGAAGAGTTCAATACTTTATTGCTCATGCCTACTTTGCCAGACTCTTCCCAGATTGGTAATATGCACTTCAGCCGGAATAGATAAGGTTCAACAGCATTGGGGAAGGGGGGGGCAGAGCTTGCCCTCTTGTGCCTATGTAACAATCCCAAACTAATTTCCTACTTCACTCCTCCCCCTGGCTTGGTCAACCCCTCTCCAGTACCTGTTGAACTTGAATTACAAGTAGTCCTTGGGTTCTGACAGCAATCAGGACTGGATTGCTTGGCGATGAAAAAGCAATGGGGGCAACTTGTGACATCTTGCTGGTTTCTCCATTGACTTTGCTTGTGGAAACTTGGCAGGGAAAGTTGCAAATGGCAATCATATGCCTCCAGAATGCTGCAACTGTCATAATTGTAAGCCAGTTGCCAAATGTCCAAATTGCAATCACATGACTGCAGGGACACTACAACAGCTGCAACTTGGCAGATCAATCATAAGTTGTCTTTGTTTAGTGCTATCTTACTAAACAAGTGCTTGTAACCCAAGGACTATCTACAGTAAAAGACAAGCATGTAAAGATAAATAATAGAAGGGTCAGGACCACCCCAGTTGATATTTAAAAGTCAGAATAATTTGAAAAATCAACACTATAAAATTAGATGATAGATAAACCAAGACTAAGTAGAAAGAAGAAACAGATAAAACTAATATCACAACAAAATTTACCAGGGTAAAATATTCTAAACAGTGTATAAAACAGATAGGTTATATAAAACAAATTAGTAGAAAGCCAAGAAGAAAAATGTACTTACTTGTTTATTTGTATTACCAAATTTTGAAACCGTCTGTCTC